GGAAAGACCAAAAGCAAATTGCACTTCTTACCCACAGTGAAAGAGCACACAACTCTCCAAGACAGGCAGGGGATCAAGAAAGGCATAACCTCAAGAAGAAGCCAGCGGCATCAGATGAAAATGTGGTTCAACCTCAGATGAAAACCACCTCAAACTATTCATAGGAGAAAAAGCTCATGCAACAAAGGTGTTCAGCTATGAGTTTTTAGCTATGTCTTCTTTGGCTTGACAACACTGGCCTAGACACATCTTCATGTGTTTGTGGATGTTTGTTCAAATTTTGTTTTTCCTTTGTATTTCTGTCTCTCTCTCGGTCTTTCACCTTTACTCTGGGCCCTCCCCTCTGATTCCCATCTTCCTCCTGGGGGTGTTTTCTTAGAGGGATTGGGATGAAGTACTCATACTTCAGGTATCTCTACAAAGTTGATGTTACCATGGCAACATTTATTCCAGCTTTTTAATGAGACCACTGAAATATAAAGGCTGTCTAGTGATATTTACTGGAATGTTGCCAAGGCAACCTCTGCGTTTCTCAGAATGACTGGATTTATGAGCCTTCAACCATTCAATGCATCTAAGCTGAGTTTTGGTTAATCAGCTGAAGGTTGGGGGCAGGTGGGTGGTTTATCAATGGAAAGGAATGCCTACTGCAGTCACAGAGTGAACATACAAGCCCTTGAAAGCCTCACCAATTCCTTTGGATATTTTTAATAAAATCCCACACTAAGACCAATGCCTCTGCTAACTAAATTTTCCAGGTCTCACTGTCAGTGTCTCCAAGTCACTTGACCATTTCCCTCTTTGTCTTCAGGTCTTCAGGCACAAAAACAGTGGGGAAAAAAGAACTTTAAAAATTAACCATAGTACCAAAGTAGTCACACATGACCTCTGAGAGTCACCTGTTCAGTCTGGGATTTTTCTGATCACTGTCTTGCAGTAAATCGATGGCTGATTCGACTCCCAGTGTTGTGGCTCTGTGAGAGGGCAAGGAGGTTAATGACTCCTACCAGCCACCTGGTAATGATTCAGGTAATTATGTTGCTGAGGGCAGCTACATTTCATTTAGACATTGACCTGACAAGGGAGGATCTGCTGACAGGCAGTGGTGCACAACACAGGCAGATGTACATACAATGTTTGGATTGAGAGCAGGGAAAAGAAAACCAAACTAAAACATTCACATGCTGCAGCATGTGCACCAGAACAAACCAAACTAATTCTGTCACTCTCCATGGGTCAAAGGTGGCTGTAGGAATAAGCAGATATCCGGGGCAGAGGATTAACTGGAGTCAGGCTGGAGATATAAAGGGGAGAAACTGACCCAGATAACAACAGGAAGGATTTAGAGAACAACTGTTGCACTAGCTAGTGACCACAGCTTTTCCAGCATTTTTGAATACCAGAAGCAAAGTGATTTGTCTGAGCTGAATATTTGCAAACCAGAAGAACTGCCAGGGGAATGATAGAGAAGCACCTCTGGGGTCTAGTCATCTCCAGCCTCATCTGGGATCTTTACAGGGCTGCTTTGGATGCCTTGCTGCAGGGAGAGATGGGAGCTGACAGCCTGCCCAATGCAGAGGGAAAGTCATTGCCAAGGCTGCCAGTGCCAAGTGAGACAGAAATCTTGCACAGGAAAAGCAGTATGATGGATTATACAAGTTTTCTCCTGGGAGGGAAGGCATCCTCTCAACTAATCTTCAACCCGTCTGCACAAACTAATGACACATAGCGAAGGAACTGTCTCCAGCACTCCCTAAGCTCCATAATTAGCTTTTGCTTAGACAAATCTAGGTGACCAGTGATCTCTTGAGACAGAGTAAAGTACGCGCACTCTCGTGGTTGGTTGTAAGTATCTTTGTAACAGAAAAATAGGTCCCTCCCGTGTCAATGTATCTTAGAGATACATACAATTCAGAGGTCATGATGAAGATGGCAGGAGCTGTAATTCTTCTGCATCTCCAGAAAGGCAAGGCAACCAGCCCACTCCAAAGGCCAAATGATTTCTTTAGAGGATGCAAAGCTACGTGGCTCAGTAAACCACCACATCTGCACAGATGGAAAGTTCTGTAAATATCTCAGCTCTTAAATGCCTCTTGCTCTAACAGGGGATGGATTCAGACTCAAGATCCTCACAGTCCTCATCTCCTGGGCAGCCCCAGCAGGCACTTTTTCCTTGGCCAGGTGCCTCAGGGTCCTTCTCTAGAAGGGGCTTAGCAAGAGAGCTACACATGGACGAATGCCTGCCCAGCGTAAAACAAGCTTTGCTGTTTCTGCAAATGAGGCACTTCTGGCAATCTCCCATCCTTGTTTGGAAAATATTCTGTTCTGTCCTGCAACGAGAAGGACCCATCTGACTGCATCTGTTGATCAGTGCTGAATGTTAAAACAACATTTTCTGTCTTTTGCTGTTCAGAAAGCCAAACACCATTTGAAAGCTCAGCAACCTGAAGGCAAGGACAAGAACAGACTCTGAATGGCCATGAAAACATCCTGAAATGACTTCTTTTTTCACTCAAGCTGAGACATAAGCAGTCCAAAGCTCTGGTTAGACTTTGTGCTTTTGCAGACTGGTGCTACCGAAAACACAAGACAAGGAAGACAATGCTTACTCTGTAGATAAAAGTTGTGAGAACTTTAAAAGACAAGTGTTCCTTTGACTAAAAAGCAAATCTAAGGAGGACAAACATGGTGAGTGGACTAGCCCTGTGAAAAGGAGGCAAATCATGCCCAAGACAGTAAATGTAATGCTAAATAAAATACATGGCTGATGAATTGTTTGTAGTCAAATCTGATTAGCCAGGTCATTAATATCTCACACACAATGGTGCGACAGAGAAACAGGTAAGGGTAACAGACCATTTTGTGAAATACAAGTCAGCCTGAGACGTCATCCTTTGCAAGCTGCTGAGTATAAAGTTACTGTGTTAGGCAAAAAGGATTTCCTTGTAAATCCAGAGCCAAATATGGAAGGCTCCTGGGGGAAGGCAGCTCCACATGCTGGAAACCCATAACCTCCCAGATCCACACTGGACTTCAGTGCATCTCCCTGTGGCTTACTCAGGTAGCCAGCAAAATGAGGAAGATTTCCCTCCTCCTCTTCCCTGTAGAGTTAAATGTAGATGGGGACAACCCTTAATTTTGCACAGGAAAAGCATGGGCTGTTGCTGACCCTCAATTTAATCATGGTGTTCAGGCTTCTTTAGCAATACACAGAAAGTCTTTGTATAAGAAGAAAATGTGCAGCTTATAAACATAAAGAATTTATGGATTGGATAGCAACACAAAATGTTGCTAGGATTTGATGTGCAATGCAGACAAGCATCATGCTTGCCATCCCTAAAAGAGACATTAGGAGTCACTGGTGGCTAGGAATGTATCAGTCAGATGGGCTGATGGCTGACCTCTGAGGATCCTTGGGACACGCAACCTGTGTTACTTTCATTTCCCACACCAGCGGAGGCAGTTAGCTCTGATGACTCTGTCAATTACCAGCTCTGGGGTTTTTTTTTTTAGGATTTTATATTTTTCAAAGTTAGTGTTTATTCCTTTGAATGCTTCAGCATCTAAAAAATGTGTCTTAATAAGTTTAGTCCTCTGTGTGATTTTTCTTTTCTTATTTTTCTGTGGACTGACTTACAGTTGCTTCAGCCACAGCAACCCAGGGAACAAAAGGAGCAGCAGATGGACAGGGCCTCTGGAGGCAGGTTGTGGTTTGCAGAGAGAGGCACACATTTTCTGTCACAATTTCGGGAGCAGCAGAGAGGAGAAAAGGAAATACATGAACAGTATAATGATGTAAAATCGTATCTGATTTTTGAGTGCCATATCACAGCAGCAGAAGCAGTTTAGGCAGGTTGCAAGGGGACTCAAGAGGAGGTAGTGTGATAGACAGTTTTGTGTGGATCGCTCTGGCAAAGAGCTGTTTCATGCTTGAAATGTACTTTTCGTGAGGATAGGAGGCTGAGTGCAGCACATAACTGGGGCCACAGTGCCAAAACAACAGGAATCCTCCAGATCAGTGATGTCTCCCTTTCTAGGTTGTGGTGTTTCTGCAGCTTCAACAACCCAAACGGGTGAAGAGAGTAGATCATGACACAGACAGGGTTCATGCTAAGGAATTCAGCAGTACCAGTGGCCCAGTGTCCTATGTGCTGGGGAATCAATAATAAGGAGGCTTCTCTGAGCAGTTTTCCTTCATGCATTAGTTTGGGAGTCTGCAATTCCTGCATGGGACGCTGTGGCAGCAGCACTGCAGGGTCCTGCACTTGAAGGCTAGCTGCAGCAAGCTAGGCACCTTTTGTGTCTCAAAGCATTTGGGCTCCAACTCAGTGGTGAGGGCATCTTTGCTTCTGTTGTGAGTCACAGCTGCTTCCCCACGGCCTCTGCATTTACAGACTGCTACTCTGTGCAGATGCCATGAAAGCTCCCTCTCAGGCAGCACTTGTGTCCTTTTTACCATGTGCTAGCTTCTTCCCAAGGCCAGCCCTTCCTTTCCTTTCAGCCTGAGCTAAGCTACGCAGTGCTGACACTCCAAAAGAACAGCACTTCCAGCACTATTTCACTGTCGTTTTGCAGTGGCAGCAAATACAATATAAAATCTCTCCAACTACTTACTTTCATGCTGTGTGGTACTGGAAATCATCTTGTTTTGACAAAGTAGCTAAAAGGTAAAAGTGATGCTTTTGGTAAGGAGTTTGCCTGTCCCCAGCAAAATAAGAAAAATAATCTATTGTTTTCTCTTCTGTTGGTGATTAGTTCTGATAAACACAGGAGGTCTGTAGGTTTAAAGGATAGCAAAGAATCACTATTGTCTGGACCAAATAATGCATTTCAGTGGTTTTCAACTGAGCTCACAATCTACTTCATAAAGTTTGGTTTAGGTACCCTGAGAATCTGGGTTTTCTAAAAGAATTAGAAACTCTTCCACCTGTAATCAAACTGTACTTTGAGTATCATCCTTTTTCTCTTCTTTTCTCTTTCCTTCCTGCTTTCGTTCAAAGGATGAGAAGAACCAGGTGTTGATCACAAATGCTTGGCTGCAGATGGTGAGTAGCCTGTGTGATTTCTTAGTTGAAAAGCAAGATTGCTATCTATTAACTTGTCTATAATTCGATAAAAGTAGGCATTTTAAGTCCTTTAAAATTTCCCTAGTGCTCCTTTAAGCTTTGAAAATGAAATTCAGGAGTCTACATAACCCTTTGGGGAGACCTGTTGACCCTTGGAGTATGAAACCAACTGCATTGTTAAGCCAGTGGATGTAGGGATCTAGTAACAAAGAGCCCAGTGTTAGGGTACCATTATGACTAAGAAGAGTTTCTTCAAGGGTCTGAAGGCCCTCTTCATAACCAGTGATGGGGACTTGGGAAGGAGCCAGACACCTGTACGACACAGGCTCCCTGTACTTGCTACTTCTGGGAAAATCTCCACCCCTATCTGAAACAGAGAGCGAAGTCACAAAATTCCCATCACTTTTCCCTGATCACAGAAGTGACCCAGCTACATTGGACCACATGCAGAGTGCTCTGACTGGGTGGTGGGATGGCTGGGGATCACAGACAGCTCCCTGCTGCACTGCTGGCAGTACCCTGGCACATCACTGGGTACATTGCCTTCCCTTGTGCTTTACAAACCTCATCCATAAACATTCCTTCTCCCCATTCTGCAACCTGCTCCAGCTGAGGATTGACCTCCACAAGTCATACAGGATAAGCAAAATTGATCTTCACTCAGGGCTTTGGGGAAGGGAGTTCCCCATCTGGTCTGCTGTTGGCTGCCTATGGTGAGGGATATAGTGTTTTTATGGTGCATAAACAGATCTCCTTAACAGCTTGTGCTCAATAAAGTTGCAGTTCTTGAAGAAAAAACCAGTGGGAGACATGAATGATTGAACTAATTCGTTTTTGATTTCCTCAGCCAAACGCTATCTCATATTAATGTGTTCAACGGAACAGGCTGTTTCTTCCTCAGTTACCTGCTGGGATTTGCAGCAGGAATGAGTGGTTTTCCATCACAAAAACGAACCCAGACAAACCTATCCGAGTACAGGATTGTTAGAACAGACCCTTGGGTGTCCTGTCCCTTGCAACAGAATGTCTATATATCTATATAGATATATGGATATATAGTTATAAAGATATCAGCACCGATAAGGGTTTCCCTTTCCCTTACAGCCCCACCACTGAGGTTTGCTGTAAGTCACAAGGTTCAGCCAAAAAGTTGTTCCTTTCTTGAATTAACTGTTTGTGTTGAGGTGGAAATCAGAAACAACCCCTTGGCATACAAAGTTCACTTGCCTACCTCTCATAGCAATTTGTTATTGAAATAGTCACCCAACCATGGTCCACCTACCAGTGACAGTACCCAAATCATTTAAATCACCTCACCTCAGAACCAGTGTGCCTGCCAGCCCACCAGGAAAGGTTTGGGATGCCTGGCTTCAGGCCACAGAGTGCAGAGCTAAACACTAATGTATGGCTCACAGCTTCATTAGTCACATTGTTATTTCCTATGTATTTATGCCAACCTTTCTTAATAATTAAAGCTGAGCATTAAACTGTTATCATACTCCTGCTATTCCTACTGGCAAAAGCCCTTCTGTTCCCATAATACTCCAGACAACTTAGAAGAGTTTTACAAGCTCATATAATCTGATGTATGTGTTTGCCAACAGTCTTGGGTTGATGTTTACCTGTCTTGGGATCAATATGAATACCCAGGGGTGCAGAACTTGCGATTTCCTGCTGACCAGATTTGGGTACCAGACATTCTGCTGTATAACAGGTAAGCAAGATGTGCAATGGCTGCTGGGAGACTAGAACTGGGTGCTGAAAATCAGCTGTGCTTCACTGATATTCTGTGCCTTTTGCCATATATGGGTTTGGTTCTTACACTTGAAAGAGTCACGAAACCAAACAAGCACCAGCGAAGAGATTTTTCTAGTATCTAAGTCTTCCTTGCTGTAGTTCTGCAGATGTCTTTAACTTCTTCTCAGTGAACGCAGAGTGAAAACTATCCATACTCTCTTCATAATTACCACGTCTCTCCTGGAAAATTACTATCGTGTATCTATCATAGTATTCCTGATTGAAGTAAACAAATAGATTTTCTTCTCACTTTACTCATCATATATTTCATAAATCTCTCCGTCATTCCTCTTCCACTCTGAACACTCTCTAGTCTGTTTTTCCTCCTCCAGAGCTGAATCTAGCTCTCTAGCCAGTACCTCTTCAGTGCTGAACGGAGTGGAAGTTCTCTAGACAGCTGTTTCCTTAATGCTTTCCAGGAGGAGAGGGCTTTGAGTTTGCATCTTAGTTTTGGACTTCTTTTTCGATCTACTGCAAACCACAGATGTTGTGTCTCAGCCCTGCTGTCTCAATAGAGTTTCACTGATATGTCTTTCTCTGAGAGTTTTCAGAGTAATACTTTCTAATTATCCAGATTAAATTAATTCTGCTAGTTTCCCTAGTTCACCAAGACTCATCTTCCATTCCAAGCACTCACAGCAAAATATCCAAAGGATGCTTGGAGACATCTGAATTGTTTCAGTGTTCTTCTTTACTTCAACTTTGGTCCTTATTGTCTTTTTATTCCTTGTCAGTCTCTAAAAAAGGAAGCATACAGCCTGGTCCATATTACTGTACTTTATAAGAACATGGTGAAGTTCAGATATATCACCTACCTCCTTTTAGTCAGTAAGAAAATTAGATTGATTTGATGCAGTTGGCTCTTCACAAATCTGTGCCAGCTGTTTTCACCTCATTTTCTTTGAAGTTAGAATGACGTGTCTATAATTTCACCTTTAAAAAAAGTCAGAATTTTCTTTGATCTTCCTAATTCACTGTGCCGTTCCCTGTTCTCCACAAGTCCTCACAGATAATTGTTAATGCTTCAGAGGGTATTTCGGCCAGTCCTTTCAGTTCTCAAGAGTAAATTTCATCAGCTCTGCTGAGTAGAATCTGTCTTATCTACACTTCTTTAACCTTTTCTTCCCGTATTCTGCCATGAATTCCTGCCACTGTGCGAGAATTAATTGTAAAGAGTGAAGCTCAGAGGGTGCAGGATACTGGAACTCTCTGCATCCTGTGGTTTTCTTTCCTTTCACAGCAAGTGATGAATCTATCTTTGTCTTCTCCTTGTTTGCTTGTATTTATAAAGCCCTTTTTTGTCACCTTTTATGTCTTTGATAATTACCACTCATTCTGCAGCTAGCCTTTTCAGTTTTATCTGCCTTGTTTGGTTCTGGGGGCAATAATGAGGACTGAGGACTCAAGACATGGATATAGAGCAGATCAGAAGAGGAATGGAGGGTCTGAATTTTCTACACCTGGTTGAGAGATAGGGCATGTAAGGTGGTGTAGTGATGTAATATAGACCTGCACACAGCCACCACAGGCAAGGTTCCATAAGCCCAGGGAATCCTCTGTGGTTAATCTGTTCCCAAGAGATCTTCTGAAAAAAGGCCCCAGACCTTGCTCCTTTGGACAATTCTTGTCATGGTCTGGCTCATTACTCCCTTAATTTTCACAGAATTGCTTGGAACAGTAAGGAAATTCTGTTTTCTTGGTCCCTTTCACCTGGTTTTTGCTCTCTGGGTCTCAATGAATCTCCTTGTACAAGGCCTCTAAAACAGCTTCTCCCCAGAGCCTTCCTCCAATACTAGAAGCAAACCCTCAGCCCTCTGCATCCCAAGAGACTGCAGAATTGCTAAGTCAGGCCACCATTGCTGTTACAACAGATATCTGGGTAGCAGATAACTTGATTTGTACGGTGAGCTGCCTCATTCTGACAGCTGCCCTAGAAAAGCCTCAGTGTACCAACTGCCCAGTTTTTGGATACAGCTAATATGACACTTTTGATCCTTTCCCTTCTACCTGTGCTCTGAGACATCCAACGCTCTGCCTTTCACTTCTTTGATGACATGACAGCATACAACCCATCTGCCCAGGGGCAGGCTGACAGTGTCTATGAGAAACTGAGATGCAGGTCAAGGGTAGACTCTTCGCCCAGGTGTAGGAACTAAATTTAGACTTTCTATGGGTTGATTCAGACAAAATATTATTTCCATGTTGACAGTTGCTACACCGTTCTCAAACATCAGGTTGTTCTTTCTCTGTTTTGTTATGTTTTGTTTATATTGTGTTACAGTGCAGATGAAAGGTTTGATGCGACATTTCACACGAATGTGCTGGTGAATTACTCTGGATCCTGCCAATATATTCCTCCAGGTAGGACACAGAGAACATTTGTTTGCTTTTAATCAAATTAATACAAGCAATTTGCCTTCATGAATGAAACCAAGATGTTTTAAAGCAGTCTGTGGAAATTTTGCAAGCTGGGTAGTTATGGGACAGACCCACTGAGATAATTTACATCCATTATCAGTAGTGTATTTCCACTTCACAAGTCAATAAAACATTCTCCTGAGCAGTTTGCTTAGAACTTCCAGAGGCCCACCTGAGATATCATCCAAAGCAAGATGGTGTGCACCATCACATATGCAGTCCAGTTAGGTCTTTGTTGAGTGGGGAGGTGTGTGACTAGAGGAGGCCCTGAGAGCAGCCCTCACTCTGCATTGAAGTCCTTCTGCCAGGCTGAGGCTACAAGTCCAAGTGAAAAGAAAAACTGGGATTGATCTCAGCCAGCTGGACCCAAGTCTCAGCCTCTTTTCCATCTGTACTGCTGATTCCATGCCTGCAGAGTCCAGCAGCCAGGACCCACCAGCAAACACACGGGCTGTTTCACAGTTACTCACTGTGGTGGACAAAAAAGCGCCCAAACTTGGTGTCATAGCACAGTATAGCCCCCAGGCATGTCCACAGGTCCCAACAGAGACTTCCCTGATGGCTGGTCCACTGTTGTCCCCTACCTCTGAGACCCCTTAAACTGGACTAGACACATCCAGAGTAAAATTCAAGGCTCAGGTTAACACAAGTCTATAAAGGCCAGCACTGAGCAAGGTTTAGCATCATAATGTATTTTCACGGTATGGTGGGTCTAGGACAGAGCCTAACCAGGAACTCCTTTCAGAAGTAGTTCCTCACAGGAACTACAGCCTCTGTGAGTGCACATTTGTGTACTCTGTCCTTCTGTCAGCACTGCCTGTAGCCTGCTGAGGCCAGCCAGCACTGGGAGACAGGCTGGGCTGCTCCTGGGCAAACTACCTCAAGGATGCAGTGAGAGGTGGGTCTTCACTGGCAGAAGAAGAGAGGTTATTCCACTCGTGTCAGCACCTTCCACCTGCAATACTTGTTTGGTTACCCCATAACTGTATCACACATACTTTCTGGAGAGGAAACTTGCTCACAATCAATCAGACAGATAAGGGTAATATGAAATGCATCCTGCACATGCTTGATCGTGACTAATTTCTATCCACAGGCATTTTGAAGAGCACCTGTTATATTGATGTCCGCTGGTTCCCCTTTGATGTGCAGAAGTGTGATTTGAAGTTTGGCTCCTGGACTCACAGTGGCTGGTTGATTGACCTGCAGATGCTCGAGGCTGATATGTCCAACTACATCTCAAATGGAGAATGGGATTTAGTGGGTAAATTGGCTGGCCTAAAAATTTTCAATGGCCTAATTTTCAAAGGCAACCCCCGAATATATAGAAATGATCAATCGCACTGGGACATGAAATACAGATATTAAGAATTTATATGTAGGAAGAAGCAAAAAGGGAGAAAAAAAAATCAGATCAGAGGCAGCCTTTCAACCACATTCATTGAACTGTGTCTGGAAACACTGTGTTCTGATGCAAGTGCCTGCCACTGAGTATATAAATGAAAGCTACTAGTCTTGATGCATCTGAGCAGTTTGTCAGTACTAAACTTGGATGTGCCTCATGTAGGTGCACGGAACACTACTGTCACATTTATTCTAACACACCAGCAAAATTGATTAGTGTAAAAAATACTTCAACAAAAAGTACTTCAGCAAAACTTTTACATAAATGAATCTCTCTCACCCAGAAAACCATCGAAGTGTGTACCAGTGTACAGAAGTGTTCATAATAACTGCAGATTAGTATGTCTCTCTTCTCTTCTGTGCTTTGGAAGACACCTGCATTTTCAAAATAAGAACCAGGCATTCAGTGTGAGTTTCTAGTGGGTTATTTTGAACTCATTTTTGCAGTTATAAGTCAGAAGCAATGCTACGGAAATTGATGGAACTTGACAACTCTAAGGAGAGGCTACAAAGAAGACATTTTATCTTCCAGTCTGGATATATAGACAAGGAAATAACTACCCTGACCAACTGCATGCAGTAGTTTTACTGTTCAGGGAATCTGAAAAATTATATTCAGCTTTATGAGAAGCCAGAGGACTCCATAGTGAAGTCCTCATAACTTAGTGCTTTAGTCCTTATTTCAGAGCACTCCTGACTATCCAGTATTCCTTTATAGTGCTTATTTCTGTCTGATAACTTTGCATATCTGATTAAGAGTCTGTGGTTTGTCTGCCTTCAACCCTGAACAGGGGAGAACAAAACAAGTACTTATCTAGCTCATACAGCAAAAGCAGTAACACCTCAGGCAAGCCACAGCTATATCCTTTATGAAGACTTTGCTAGGCTCCTGCCAAAATATGCACATCATCACATCTTCTGTCCTGTTCACAGAAATGAAAAAAAGTGAGAAATTTTTGGCATGAAAGATACAAGGTGCTGAAGTCTTCCAGATCCCCTGACATTCTCTGTGCTGCTGCAGTCCTCATCATGCAGCATGTCAGGCAATCTACTGCAGCAGACTCACCATGGCCAACCCTGCAGCACAGCTGTATTGGAAAACTATGCTTCTTAACCTTCAAGTATCACAGGCTTTAAACTTAACGTAACACCCTTTTTTGAAAATTAACCCATATCCTGTGTGTTTTTCTTGACAAAAAAAAAAGCAAATGTGTATCAAACAATGACAGAAAAATAAGAAGCAGTGGCACTTGTCACACAGAAAATCTGCTGTGTGTGCTAGTGAATATGACACCAGCAGTATGTCAACACTCACGGGATGTAGGAAGGCAGAATGCACATTTTTCATGTTGAGGTTGGGATGCTCAGCACTGTTTTCCTCTAGCCCAGAGGAGCTTTCTTGGCTAATCTGGGTTCAAGTGACTCAGAAGGCATTAAAGTAAACCCTAGAAAACACAAAAGGTAGACGGGGAACAGCAGAGGGAGGTGACACACATTGGCCCAGTCCAGGGGGATAACTAGGAGTCTTGCACCTCTCCCCACTGCTCTTATCTCCCTCTCTGTAGGTGTCCCAGGAAAGAGGAACGAGATGTACTATGAATGCTGCAAAGAACCATACCCAGATGTGACGTACACGATCACCATGCGCCGACGCACCCTCTACTATGGCTTGAATCTACTCATTCCCTGTGTTCTCATATCTGGCTTGGCACTGCTCGTATTCCTTTTGCCAGCTGATTCAGGGGAGAAGATTTCTTTAGGTGAGTGCTAAAGTATTCATTTATTTCATAAACATCCTATAAAACAGAAAATAAATATCTCGTGGTGATGTGGTGCTTGATGGATTAAGTTTTCACTAGGAGAGCAATAGAAGTACTTGTTTGGCTGCAGAAAAAGGACAACAGCTTTCTGTATGATATTCACACTTCCTGTTCTAAACAATCCTAAAATCTTTTGGACTTTAACATGGGAGAAGGCTGAAAAATAAGCTGTTGGCACAGGCGGAAGTGATAGCATTCTGTCCTGCTCGTTGTTATGTTCTTTACTACATCTCGATGCATTTCATAGCTGATTAACTTTGTTTTTCAGACAGGACATACCAAGATACAAATAGTGAAGGCTTTTGAGCAGCAGCAGCTGGACGCTGGATTTTTGCTTTTAAAGTTCAGCTCCCAAACCACCTAGCCATGAATCCCCTATGAATGCAAAGCAGTGACAGACAAGAAAGGGATAAATTATATTTACTGTTGTGTTTATGTTGATAAAAACAGGAAGGGTTCTTCCAAGACAAGACAGAGGAGAGCTGGAAATACAACAGATGAGACCTTAAGGGTTAATTGTGCATGATTCTGTTGCAGGGCAGAGCCTTTTAGATCATATGAAGCATCCTTAGTATTAGTAAGAGAAACAAGTATCTGAGCAGCCTGTCTTACAAGAGGTAAAACACAGGCTATGGATGTTACAATTGCTATCTGTGAAATACAGGATGGAGACAAAGAACAGACTAATTTGAGCTGAAGTAGAATGTTGACACAAAAATAGGATCTAATGTTCATGTGCTGACCTTGTGATTTCTCAGTACCAGGACAGTTAGCTTTAGCAACAGCCTTTCCAGATAGAATAAAGTTCTTCTTTTAAAACAGGCTGTATCTCTTTGGGGGATGTTATATAATATGCAATAGCAAAACCTAGACTCCTGTCTGTGCAAGCCTCTTCCAACCCTTAACAACCATCTGGCCTTTGTTTGTGCTGTGTTTTGGAAAAGCAATGTAGTTCAGCAGTTCTGCAAGCTTCGTTTCACTCAGCAGGAAAGATTTCTCCATTACTTTAAGAGGAGCAAGGGTTTGTGTGTATTAGGAAAAAGCAAAAAGACAGCAGATAGAGTTGCATCCAAAAATTCTCTCACTTCGTGGAAGTTCTCATCTGCACTGACAGGCGTGAAGTCGTGGGTTTGGCTTTTCTGTAGATCAGGACAAAGCTATATTTAACAGCAAAGACCTCAGAGGAGCAGCTGCAGAGTTCATGTGCCTCATTCTTCCCCAACATGTTCATTCCCTGCAGGTATCACTGTCCTTCTTTCCTTGACTGTATTCATGCTGCTTGTGGCTGAGATCATGCCTGCAACTTCTGACTCAGTCCCACTAATAGGTAAGTTGATTTTCTCTGCTTTGTGCACAGTGTATGATGCCTCTTAAGAGCTGTTCAAAGCCAATTTGAGGACTGACTCTTTCTGTTACTCTGGTTTTGCATTCAGCGATGTCAGGACTGAATGTCAGTCTGGACTTTGTTATTTCGCATGTGTGAAAAGAACCCACATGATGGACACAAAAAGGAAATATCAGATGAGCTGGTAACTGCAAGGATTGAGAGAACACAGAAACAACTCTGGGGAAAATTCATCTTTCTTCTTCTGCATTGCCCTGCCTCCCCACTGTTACACAACTCTTCCCCGCCTTCCCCCTTCTCCTTCTCTTCTCTCTATCCGAAAAGCAACTCAGAGTACAATAGTCAAAATTCAAATACATAGCTGGAACATTTTTAATATATACTGAAAACTGTGGGACAGATCATCATCTTGGGAACATGGGCCAGATAGGCATTATTACATCCTCTGTTTTTATAGGATTATCCCTTTACCTTGATCTCATGGGGCCTCAGTTTCTCAGTTGAGAAGTGAACTTGAGACATCATTGCAGGGTAGAGAAAATAAACCTGTTGTATTTTACAAAATAAAGAAGGAACACCACAGGAAAACCTGTGAGTGCAAATCATGACTCAAGTACACATTCCAGACAGCAGAAATTAACACAATACTCAACAATACATCTGGGTGCTGATGGAAGATGGGCCTCACCATTGTACAATGAAAGCCTCACAGAAGTTATATCATGAATAGTATGCAAGAGCATTTACTCAGCTGAGCTCATTATCTCTCTTCAAGGATTTAAATCTAGACCTAACTTTGGGGAAGGAGGATGAGCATACCACAGTTAGGACAATGACACCCGTAGGCAAAGGTTTCTGAAAACCTCCAAAAAGCTTACACATCTTAGTGAAAATCAGCAGGACTCTTGACTCTGAGTCATACAGGAGCTTCCAAATGACTAACAAAACACCCTTCTGAACATATACCTATGGCACAATGGAGATAGATACAACTCTAAGAGAAACTTTGTGTGTAGTGGGGAGACACAAGGCATCTTGAACCACTGTTCATGTATTTTTGTTTTGTGTAATACCTAACAAAAACCATTTAGAATTAATAAATGAGTACACTTGCCTATGCCCAGTCCACTAGCTTTAACCAGAACAGTTTCTATTAATACGGTCTGCTATCACAGGATGTAAGATTTAAACCAAAAAAAGCTATGAACAGTTATGTATTTTTACAGACTTTGATGCTGTAATAACAGACCAATTTCTGTTTATTATAGCATTGCTAAAGTGGATGTAAATGACATCCACTGCTCTCTCATATATGCAAATATTGTAATTTATTATAGAAGGCAATCACGTTGGTCAGACAAGATTTATCCTTGTTAAATGCTGGATGACTGTTCCCGGACCCCACCCTTATCTTCAAATGCCCAGAAATGTTCCTTAAGGACTTGCTCCCTGATTTACCCAGGGACAGAAGTCATAAGGACAGAGCTATAGTTCTCTGGATTGTCCTTTTGGGCTTTTTGGAGATGGATGTACCATCTGTCTTTCTCCAGTTGTCAGGGAACTCACCCCATCTCCATGGTCTTGCAGTGATACTGTTAGGACTCTCGGTGACACCTGTGTGATCCTGTGGATTTGGGCATGTTCAGATCTTACAATCAATCCCTGACTCCCTCATCCACTGCACCCAAACAGCCCTTGTTCAGCAAGTGCTCAGAGCTGGGCTGGGTGGTTTTACATGATTTTGAGTTCTGAAAACCTCATCCTTACTCTAACAGGATGATATAGCATAATCTCTCCATGGTGATCTTACAGGTATTCCCAAATGGGATATTTTAGCTGCTGAACTGAATATATCAGGTCATGATCACAGTTTTCCAGTGTTATCTCTAGTCCTGTTAAAATCCCCAGAAATTAACGTGAGGAAAAGGAATGTATTTGGACAGCTCATTCTACATTTGGAGAATCAATATGCCTAGCATGAGGTTACAGGAATAAACAAATCTTCTAAAGCATGTGGTTAGTAAAGAATGCAGGTAATTTGATCTTGAAGCAGAAAGATTCACTGCTCATCACCAGAAAAGTCACTGTTGCTTGTCTTCATGACTGTGGGAGCAGAGATACTTTGAAAACATGACTCCACTTTAAAAAAATCTGCATTATATTCTTAGGGCCTGAATTTTTAAAATAAAACAAGCATCCACACCTACCTGAACCTGAATGAACCCCTGCAGCCTTTGCTATTTCAAAACCACTAATGCCTAATTTATTTTCTCCTCCTTCTGACCCTAGCTTTAACTACTGAACTGTAATAGCACAGGAAATTCTCGCAGCTGCTGTTTGGAGTGTCTTTGAGGAAGCAAAGGAGAACTGGTCTAATATGATATTTAAAAAAAGTACCAGCTTCTGCACTTTGGAACATTTTTACAAAGAAATGTGGAAATCACCCCCCAGTTCATCTTAGTCAAGGCCACTCTCCCCTGGCCTCAAATTACATTAACAATAAAAGAAGCACCTCTCAGACTAGTTTAGCCATCCACTTTCTGTGCCAAGAAATGTTCCAGCTGGACAAGCTGACCCCTCGCTCTCACTCAGCTTTTTGGGATTTGCATTTGCATCAGCAGGTAGCTGCTCCTTGCCCAGCAGCATGTCTGCTCCCATCCTTCTTCAGCACATCCTCTCTTTTTGGGAAACTAGATATTTTGAAAGATGCTTCCAACAGCACACATCTACGTGAAACAGGGCACCACAATATTTCAAAAGTCGAATCCTGCTCTTTTGCAGAGATGCCAAAGAAAGGAGAAGACTGAACCAGAGAAAGATGCTTCTGTTTCTGTTTAAAACATTAACCATCCCATAGCAATCAGCTCAACCATTTAAATCAAAAGCATTAAGGTCCTCCCATGACATCTGCAAACAGAACATTTTAGTCAGAGTCCAACACAGAATTCAGAAGTCAATTTTATGAATAAGGCTTCTTTCTCTACAGCATCCTGGAAGTCCCTCCTGGCACTTAAAAACTCCAGACTGTAGCTCCTAAAAGACTTTCAGAACATGGCTACATAGCAGCAGCTGTGTCCTAAACTTACCCTTCCTACGATAGCTTAATCATGCCTCTCGGGAAGGCACTCGTAATTTTACTCACTTCTAATTTTTCTCTTTAAAATTACTTTTACCGAGAGTCTATGTAAGTAGACAGCTGGAGTTCATTACTTGAGGAAAGTATACACAGAAATACAGAGAACTCCAGATGTGATACACACCTTAATTACTGGTCTGAGTGCACTAATCACTGGGTAAAATCATGAAGTCTGTGTGACACAGCTCAGGTATATGACAACCGTTTTTTCTGTTTCTAAAAACCTATGCAATTATGCACAATTTTTTCTTGTACTATACTCTGGATCCCTTTCCCCACCCACGGCGTGGGGTGGCCCAGTTCTAGTTCCATTTCCATCTGAAGAACCATTGCGACGCCTTGAAGGATGGGGAAAGGGAACTCCAGGGGTTTCTTCAGGGATCTCTTCTGACCCTGAGCCTGGAGGGGAGAGATGCTCCCACCCCCCCCCCACCGCACGTGGCCCCATGGCCGGCAGGGACACAGGACACCGGGCGTAGAGAGGAGGCAAGAGAGAGCTTTATTGTGGGGGATGCTGCATTTATAGGGTTTAGGAGGATTCACAGAGTAACCAGTTAGAAGTCTCAAGGGGCTTACAGGAACACCCAATCACAGGAAGGAGTTAACAAAGGCCAATGGGAAACACCTCAGGACACCTTCCCAGGACATTCCTGCATGGATAACACTTGTTGTGGGGGGTGCTGGGAGGAAGAAGCATGTGTTTGCAAAGAGACCACCAAAAGCCATTTTAAGACATGTTTAAACAACAGTTTTTCCCATATAATGCAGGTTTATTGCTACACTATACATACCAGTAATTTCATGGGAATTTCATGCACCTTCCCATCCCCACTATTCCACCCAGTCCAGTGCATTACGTAAGAAAGGATATCCGTGTCCCACTGTGTTGATTTCCTGGTTCAATGACCAAACCAAAATTAAACGAATACTGTTATTAACAAATACTGTTATTTTTATTAGAGCTTTTGTGCAAACTCAGGCCCTGCCCCTTGAAACTAAAGGCTTAGGTAATTCATCTGAGAACTACATTTGAGGCATTTAGATCTGAACTGTAAGGACTGTTTTATTTCTATGAAGACAATGTGATCCATGTTAGGTGAACGATTGAACTCAATGATATTAGAGGTATTTTCAAACCTAAATGATTCTATGATTCTATGTAAATAGCTGTGGATAATCAGATCTGGTTTTGTTAATGGTTATGTGATCATCTCTGGAGAAAGGATGAATTCCTTCCTTAGGCAAAAGACATACGCCTGAATTCCTTTAAAGTCTTCATATCCCTGATCTTTTTCATTAAACTTTGTTTTCTGTTGAAAAGTAACCTTGTAATTATGGCAAGGAAATCATGCATTAAGAAGTTACTAAGGAACAAATTCCCCTAAGTCAATAGAGATTCCTATCTATAACTTTTCCCATTCATGACTGTCCTTTGACAGGAGCCTGCTTAAGATTGCATAGTTGGTGATCGTGTGGTCCCACATTCAGTGGCACCAAATAGAGCAGTGAACAGAATCAAATTTATCATGCACTGCTGTAGGAATGTCTTAAAAACTGTCTCAGGATAAGCTGCTAGTTTGGGCTCATAAACTTAAAAAAATTCATCTCCTAATGTCATGTTTAGTTCCTACCAAAACCAGCCAGTTTTTCAGAAAGACGGAACAATCCACAGCCCATGTTAAAGTCAGACATGGCCAAAAACCATTGCTTTGGAATATTGAGATGTACCTAATTAGGAGCCTAACCAACACATCTTCTTTCTACCTGCTTGCAGTAGCACTTCCAGAAGGGGAAAACTTTTGGGGCCACACGGCATGGTAAAGTTTGTAGCTGTCCATACTTCCCC